TACTGCCTAACGAAACACAATCGCCTCAATTTCAAAAACATCATTATGCTAATTTGGTCGCTGAATGGTTAGCACACAAAGTGCCGTAAAGTTGAACAAATGTGTACACACATTAACTTTAGTAGTAATAACTTAGTAGTAACAATGACAATGAAAACAGAAGAATGTGAAACAGTTTAGTTTTCCCAAAAAGCTCTTCCACCACACACACTGTAGAATTTATGCCATTGGTTGAGCTGTAACGCTGAACGATCACCTTGCTGGGATAGGTTGGTTAACGGTTTAGAGCGTTTTTATCGAAAAACATAAGTGATGTGTGATGTATCTAAATAATTAAAAGAGTATTGTGTGTGCGTGTGGGGAAGTTTTGAAACTTCTTTAAACTACGCGAAAATGAAATTAGGAGTAGAGAAATACGCGTAAGGGAGGGGTGTATGTAGATAGTACTATGCACTGCAAAGGAAGGGGTATTTGGGTAATGGATCTGTCATACCTCAGAACTACATCTCAGATAGAAGTGTTTATTTATTAAGGTTTTGTGTTTGAATTTCTTCATTTGTTTATAGACACTTGGGGTACCTGTACCGTCACCTTTTTGAGTTTTAATACTTACTCTCGATACCCAGGTTTTGAAAGCGTTGCTAAATATGACGCCACTTACTAGATAAGTCGATTGATTTGTCATTTTTGATCACACCATTTGGCTCAAAGTGTTTTTTTTTTATATCTAGAAGTATTCGGTGGGTATCACGAGTCATGGAATAGGTTTAACTCACGTAGTCATTGAGACGCTTCGCACGGCCATCAGATTCGCTCTAAACTCTACGTACCTAATCTCTTACGCGAGTAGTCTAGGCAGCTCACTTAACTGTTTTGATTATTTTAAATACACAACAATGCTTTTATGTTTTATAAAATGTATGCATTCAGATACAAAATACCACAACTTAAAATGTTTCATACGCGAAGCACGAGTTTTCTTTCTAATATAGATTTGAAATAATATGTTCTAAGCGTAACTAGGATAATAACTTTCCCTCTTATAATAGTGAGCGTGTGGCTAGTTGTAAAATAAAAACTTAAAATACTTTTTACGACTGAAATGTACTAGTTGTTTATTTGTGATTTAACGAAACATTTTTTCGATTTTTTTTTTCAAAGATAAAACAAGAGGGAATCCTCAATAGCCACGACACTTGAAATTCTTTTACACAATATTAGAGCAAATTAATCTATAGACCTTTTTTCTTTTTATTAGCTATATTTTTGTGCGCCGGCAATCCAAAGCGCGGGGCGCGTATATACTCTTAGATTTTAATACTCATCAGTATCTCTACCAGCCTACCTTCAAATTAAAATTCTTTTAGACATCAATCTATGAGACTTGGCCGTGTTCAAGTATATCAATCGAAAGGAGTTGATCTCCTTAGTCCAAAACTATAATTATATTTCAAATCGGTCAAGATATGACGAAGCTATGAGCTAAAAGTTTGTACTTGAAAAACTCGGAGTCATTCTATGAGCCGCTATACCGCAGCTTAAAACGTTCTAGATTTGACAGTCCTGTACTGAACCTTCTTAATTAATTGTGTGGATTAAGAGACAAACAAACATAAAATATCTTTAAGTGAGTAACAACAAGATGTAGTCGATGGCGAACGAAAGTTACGATACTATTATAAAAACATGCATATTTGGAACACTCCATAGCGTTTAACCACAAACATACACATGCAGTAACTTCAACAGTAATAGACCAACATCCATCCTTAACAGTGTTTTGAGATAACACTTTGTGAGCTGAACAATGGTGAATAATTCTTGCCTGGATTTCACTGGTATCTCAACAATATCAATCTACATTAATCTCACCAATCTTGGTATTTCTTGACGTTTTAATGAGAAGAATTGAAGCCAATAACACCCCTTCAGTTTATGGTAGATCAGCAAATATCAGTTATTAGCTAAATTCTAGTTAATAACACTTGTAATCTGTCAAATGTAACAACTTGAAAATTCCAGTGACCAGAACTACTGCATCTATGTTGAAGATAACCAAGAGGAAAAGCTCATCATTCTGGGAACTGTATTCTATGGGACCTCAAAGTCTAAGTCACTTATCCAAAGAAATTTAAAGCATCATTGATCAAAGTCAGTTCCAGCAAATCAGATAGACATATTGTTGTCTTTGATTTCTCAGCAGGAAGACGCGTTATAAATACAAAAGTAAATAATCCCAAGCAATTTCAGAAGAAACTTGCACGTGCAGTAAACCTGATGATGAAACAGAATGGTCACTGAAAGTAAGGTACAGAGACCATTTTCAGCTATCTTCACATTAAGAAGAATCACTGATTTACCATCAGTTAATATGAAGACATACTTGATCATGACATTGTATTTAAAAAAATAGAAAATCGAAGAAGCTTAGAAATCTAGAACACACACTATGTTGATCTGGTACAGGATTAAACATAGGTTAATTTTTATATGAAATGGTTTTTATTAAACGGGTGTTTACTTAATCGTGTGTAGATTCAACATGAAAATAAGAGTGGAATAAGTCAGCATGTTTGGTGTGACAGGGATTCCAACCCGCGACCCCATCAGATTGCGAGTCGAGCGCCGGGCCTCTTAGTTGAACGATTCAGTTTTGTAACATTAATTTGTTCGATTAATCACTTATGTTACTTACTCAACCAGAGTCAGTAATTAAATTGTTAGCAAAACCCAATGACGTAATCAGTCAGAGTCAACTATAAACTTGTTATCAGTAAAAATCAATAAAATCCAACGACTTACTCAACCAGAGAGAGAGTAATAAACTTGTCAACAAAACCCAATGACTTCGGTCCAATAAACACAACTAAAATGGGCATACATAATGGCTACTAGTATCGAACTTTTAAACCTGTTTAAAGGTTTGAAGCTAACTAAATCAAGAACAGCGATATACTACGTGAAAAATAACACATCAGTGTCAAAACAATACAATAATATAAATTATTGTAATTGAAATATAATTCTAATCTAGTTCTTGGTCAAAATTTACTCTGTGTTGATCAAACTTGCCTCAAGCTTTTCTGCTGTCCAGTAGCTATTTCACAGAGTATCAACTGCAATTATAAAGAGACAACTTTAACAGACCTTTTATGTATCATTTCTTTTGCTTTTCTCACTTGTGTTGGTGTACAACAAAAGTGTTTGTATTTCATATGCAACATTTGTGCCAAGTCTATTAGTTTTCAGTTCGTTTCAAGGAACTAAATTAAGAGGATTTAAAGAGGAATTAATAATAATTCTGTCATGTTTCGATTAAAGCCTTGGAATATCACAGTGATATATTTATTAAAGCCTTGGAATATCACAGTGATATACTTGTATCTTAGTTCAATGTTTGTTTTTGTTTTTGAATTTCGCGCTAGCCGTCCATAATCTAGCAGTGTAAGACTAGAGGGAAGGCAGCTAGTCATCACCACCCACCGCCAACTCTTGGGCTACAACGAATAGTGGGATTGACCGTCACGTTATAACGCCCCCCACGGCTGAAAGGGCGAAGCCTTAAATTATTATAGAAAAATAATAATCTAAATAATAATAATAAACATTAACATCGAGTCCCTCGGTTGGTCAGCAGTAAGATTTTGAACTTATAAAGCTAAAATCCGAGGTTCGATGACCCACGGTGGACAGAGCGTAAGTAGTCCATTGTGTAGCTTTGCGCTAAAACATCCCAGCAAGAACAACTAACATCAAAGTTAAATTAATCCCTCTCAGAAGCTGAAACTTTTTCATAATACTGCGCACCTATGAAGCTGTGTTGTAGAATTGGTGCACTTTGTGATAGCACCAATAAATAGGTTACTACGCAATCATAAGGAGAATACAATTATTTATCTTAATATTTGTTGAAATGAAATCAGCGTCCGTCAGACTTTTAATGTTATGTTACTTTAAATAAACAAAATTTATTTCAGAGTTGGAGGGTTGCCCAATACATTCAGCGCTGATACCTCCCTCCCCAGTAGATCCGCCGCTGATAGGTTTTGTTTCCTTGGTATTGCTTCATAACATTGAGTATCTTAAGTCAGTTTATTATCCTGAAATAACTCCATTAATGGTCATCTCTCTCTCTCTTTCTGTATATATATCTATTTGAAATAATTTCAGTTCTAATTTGCATATATAGTTACTTTACGTTTGATTAGAGGTTCTTAGTAATTACCAAACTAAAGCTACTTACACTTTGCACGAAACTTTAAAATTGCTGGATCGAACAAATTCTAGGCTTAAAGAAGACTTTCAGGCATAATTATGTAAATCTTAACAGTTTTAGAACCTGCATTCTTAATATAAATGAAATAGAATGTCTAGCCCAATTACTATTCGGTTAAAGAATATACTTAACCAGATTTGTCAGCCAAATATAAATTTTTCATCCAAACATTTTCTAAGTGTTGTAATTAGTCTCAATTCCCCACCATAAATTTAATGATATATCTGAATATCCGGATAGTTATTGTAATTTATTTTGATCTTTTATAGCTATAATAATAGTCAAAAGGCCATAAATTCAGTTTGTCTGCTGATTTTCTCCAACGTCAAAAGCATGAAAATGGTAAATATCCTAATTGCTTATTAAATTTTGCGGCAAAAAATTTATAATACCTGTGAAGAAGGATAGTTGAATGGAAGATTAGATGAAGAAATATACAGATTGGAGAATGGAAGACAAATCATATAGGGAAAAGGATATATATATATGTAAAAACTCATGAATATGAATAGAGATACATGGATACGGAACTGATGGATGAAAGGATAAAGAAATCGAAAACTACCGAACTGATAGATAAATGGGCTTACAAACACAACTATACAGAAAGCTAAGAACAAGAAGTGTAGTTTATTTAAATCATATCCCACGGTTATCTAGATGTATATAAAGCTCACGCACACACACACATATATATTATATACACACATACGTATGTAGTTACCTTTTCTGCTCAAGCGATTTTTCCCCACAGGCCTCAAAGAACATTGCCAACCTCTTGCCTGACCTTCCACATTTACGAACGTAGGAGCCGCACGAGATAACAATGACACTAATTCAATACTTCAATATAAAGTATAACAATTCCAAAAAAGTCGATAGACACCGAAATAAACTCTCTTTTAAACTCTAATCGTCTTATTTCAAGCGTGATATTTTAACGCAGAGACGCGAAAACAGTCGCTTCATATATATTTCTGGCAGCTTGAG